AAACGGTACCCTGTAATAGTGATGTCCATCACTGGTTTTGCATTAGCAGTAGTTATAGTTTTAACATGTAGGACTAAAAGAAAATCAACTGACAGCTTACAAACCCCCAAATAGGTAGGTAAAGTCTGTTCTTCTCACAGACCTAGGAAGTTTCTGAAATTCAATAGCTTAAAGCATATGCTTGTTATTATCTGTGTGTGTGTGTGTGTGTGTGTGTGTGTGTGTGTGTGTGTTTCTGTATGTGTGAGTGGCACAGCGCTGAATGCCTGTGCATACTAATAGCATTTATTTGCAGCACGAATGACACCTCTGAGGCGGAGAATAGTCGGGGGAAGAAAACAAACACAGGAGGTGCTAATGAAAGAAAGGAGAGGAGAAGAGACTAGGTGTTAATGTAACTTGTTGTCTCTTCTGTGTCTTACTCAAGGTGTAACTTAAATGTAGTCTTAGAACAAGGTAGGATGACAAGTTGTAGGAACTTCTTGAAGAGCCCGTTTGTAAGTGGGGTGAAAAGCTGGATGTCATAATGATATAATGACAATGGGAAGATGAGGAGCGGAAATAGCAGTTGGCACAGCATACAGGTTAGTAAATTAAAATAAAGGATAGTTGGCAGCTATTAGTCATGACCCGTGTTCAAAACTTGATCCTGATGAATACAGTCAGCGGCACTATGCCTTCTCCGAAACCACAACGTTTCCTTCATCAACTCTACTATACATGGTGCGGGTCAGTAATGAACACGGACAGTGCGGCAAGTAAGAATGAGGGAGATGTAGAGCAAAGAGTCTAAGACTAACTTTGACCTCTCCCCCATTGAAACACCGATCCACGCTGTGGAACATTAACAAAGGAGCCCTTCAACACTTTCAAACTTGACTCTGAACCCCTCTGTGAGAGTAATGGCATATATTGGCAGAAGACTTCAATGAGCTACAGGTAGGCACTCATACGCTACATGAAAAAATACAGCATAGAAATAAGATCAGATGCTCTACAAGGTAACTGAATTCTGTACCAAACAAAAATGAAACGCAAGATGATTGAAGAGTATAGTATTGACTGAACTGTGGACAAACCTTGCAGGTAGTTATCCCCACAAAACACACACACACACACACACACACACACACACACACACACACACACACACACACACATTCATCTAATGTAAATTGACTTAGAGCCTGTTTAATGCACAGGTATGCACATGCACAGACGCACACACAAACAGTCCCAGTGGTGGAGGTTGGCTCTGAGACAGGGGTAAATGGCTAATGTGAGTGTATGTGACAGGCAGCCGGAGGCAGTGTGAGGAGCAGCTCAGTTCTCTGACAGGTGTTGCCTCCACACCTCCCTCACCTCCTCCTCACCCCAACACTAACACACAGCCTACCTGCTGAGGAGCCAGGAGTGCACATGAGGAAATAGGCTGGGGGGGTACTTGCTATATATGTGTGTGTGTGTGTGTGTATGTGTGTGTGTGTGTGTGTGTGTGTGTGTGTATTGTGACAGTGCTACAGCAGTATATGTGTGTGGATGTATATCTGTGTATGTCTGTATTCTCCTCTGGCAAATAAGGCAGCTCCCAAACCACTCAAAGTGGAGTGTTTTAAGGTGGAATGGGGAAAAAGAGGCGGGTGGAAAGACTTTTTCTATAAGTCTCCAGCTGCGTTGTTGCCGGGGGATGCAGGGTCACTGGAAAATGCAAAGAAGAGAGGGAAGCCCACCTGCTAAGCAGAGAGATTTTAGGGCGACTGAGTTCTTGAATCAGATTCCCAGGTACCTCTCAATCTCCTCAAAAGCTGAAGCAATGCAAGGAAATATATATAAACGAAGCACGTCTTTCTTTTAAATCTTAGGAGTGAATTTAGTTCTTCTTCTTTCTTTCAGGTCTTTTTGGGGTTTTGTGAGGTATGTGTCACATTTTTGACAGTGGATAAATGAAGCTGGAAACAATGAAAGTGTTAGACAGTTAAGCAAAAAAAAAAAAGTGAGAGTCAGAGGTGAGACCAAACAAGAAGGACAGGTGGGAAAAGGAAAAGGCGGGAAGGGAGAGGCGATGGGGGAGTTGTATGCTGTCTAGGCTTCTCACATACAATTTATTTCAACACCTGAAAGCAGCAAAAACCTCCCCCTTCTTTTTACCTAAACGTACATATAAAATTATGCTTTGCACCTGTACCCAGCCGAACTCCAAGCTTCCTTTCCATTACGCACGCACGCACGTACGCACGCACGCACGCACGCACGCACGCACGCACGCACACACACACAGGAAACCCTTAATCCAAGGGTTAAAAAAAGATGCTCAAACCTGTCAAACGCACCAATCACCAGTGACGGAGTTGGGTCAGTAGTTATTTTCAACTCTGTACAACCACAGACAGAATAAACCTTATACACACACAAACACACATCTGCACGCACGCTGACAGGTTGTATTGACTTGTCATGTCAGAAAAAGTAGAAAACAAAGCTGTGAGGTAAGAGTATTCAGTTTCCCATTGCAATGCAACATCATTAAATGATTGGAGCCCATATCAGTGTAAGCTAAGCCAGCGGCTTCATTCAGTATTCATTACAGCTGGCTGGCACACCGAAAAGACACTGCAAGACAAATCAATTAGAGAGGAGAGAGAGAGGGAGAAAGGGCTGTAGGAGGAAATCCATAGTGTATAATTTTAACAAAGAGAAGCAAGTGAAAAAACACCAGGGAGGGAGTCACAAATTAATGATTAGCTATAGATCGCTGCTAATCAATATACTGTACATGTAAGTAAGTCAGCAACAGCCCCTCTAGGGTTAACACGCACTTGTTAAACATTACAAATCTCTCTGGCAATCACCTCTCTTTCAATCCCACACAACTCTGTTAGTTGACTCATAAATAAGATTTCTGCACATTTGAAATAGTGTCCAAGCAGAGCTATCACATAAAGCACATGTAGACAATAATCAGAGCAACCACTACATCTAAATGTATACCAGAAACAAATAATACGATTCTTGTTTACAGGCTAAAAGCAGGGGTTAATCAAGAAATACATGTAAACCCTGTGACATTGATGGGAATAAGTACACTGATCAGTCATGACATTATGACCACCTGGACACCCTGGTGGTCATAATGTTATGCAGCCCCATACCAACAAACTGTAATGCACAGTGTGTTCTGACACCTTTCTATAAGAAACAGCATGAACTTTTTCAGCAGTCTGAGCTACAGTCTGTTGCATCAGACTATACGGTCCAACCTTCGCTCCCCATGTGCATGAATGAGCCTCAGCCGCCCATGATCCTGTCTCCGGTTCATCGCTTTTCCTTCCTTGGACTACTTTGGATAGGTACTGACCACTGCTGGCTGGGAACACCCACCAAGAGCTGCAGTTTTGGAGATGCTGACCAAGGCGCCTAGCCATCACAATTTGGCCCTTGTCAAAGTCGCTCAAATCCTCCTTCCTGCTTCTAACACATCAACTTGAGGACAAGACATTCACTTGCTGCCTGATATGTCCCACCCACTGGCAGGTGCCATGATAAGCAGATAATCAGTGTTATTCACTTCACCAGTCAGTGGTCATAATGTTATGGCTTATCGTTGTAAGACACTAGTGGTAATTTTCCTGTTTGAATACTGTTATTATTATTATTATTATTATTATTAAATGCTGATTATGCTTGTACCCCAACAGGCTACAATTCCTGCTCTGATGAAGTACAGTTCATCTCTGTGAGCATCTTACTGACTTTAAATGGTTTAATACTCCCCATTAGTAGTTATAATAATCAAGATTAGACTGAGCAAAGAGAAAACAAACTGAGGAAACACTATGCTCCATTAGTGATAGGAACATAGTGTAATCATTGAAAAGCACAACAATGAGACACTGAATATCTCAACTTCAGTGTTACTAACAATTAAACAGCGACTACAGAATTCCTATTTAGAATATTCTAATAACTTTCACTCAAACAAAAATGTGTTTGGTTTGCCGTCTGTTTTAACAAAACTATGTTTGTAGATATATATCGAAATATTTCCACAATTCACCAGTGCCTCAGTCCAGAGGTGCCATTAAAGGTCTACACAGTAGAGGGTGCTGTTGACTAATACAAAAGGTTTCTGGTGGAAAAGAAATCTACTACTCCTGCTAATACAAAGATTTACATGAAAAATGTAACATGTGAAATCTGTGATTAAGACATGTTGTTAGTCTTAGAACATTGAGTCTTAGCTCTAACATAAGAAATGTAGTATCTCTTTAAATATATATGTAAGAAAATGTGAAAATTTAAAGACATATGCAACTAATATATTAAAATATTTGCCTATTTCACCCCCTTAATTTTAAGGACACAACTAGCCTTAAGCCAACAAGTTACTGACATAACTTAATAGGAAAGTGGTGAAACTATGCCTCATAGTCCTTTAATAACACAAATGTTATTAAAGGACCAGTGTGTGTTTCAACATGGGGGACACCATGGAAGGCAACCCGCTGTGTCTGTAGATGAAAACAGCTCATTCTAAGGTAACAAAAACACAACGATTCTCATATTGAGGTGATTATACACCAATGAAAACATACCTATGAATATTATATTCCATTTCTGCCAATAGGGCCTCCTAAATGTAAACACACTGGACCTTTAATGTTTATTACACTCAAATTACAAAACATTAATTCAAATGTTTGTAGTGTTACCAAGATTTAGTCTACAAATGCAGCATTATCATACTAAGAAAGGTTTAGACTTAGAAAAACAAGAGACAGGACAAAAATAAACAACACTTTTGATAAATTTGATTGAATAACTGCTTTTGGAACTTCTTGTTTAAGGTACACTGTTACATGGTCACATCTTCTGTGTAACACATTTGGTTTGCTGTCAAGGCATCAAATCTATAGTTTGTGAAGGTGTAATACAACTCATCAGGCCCACTAGTGGAAAGCACAGCTGTGACTTCTGGCATAGACCCAGAAAACATCACTCACCAGAATCTTGGCCTTTTCTTGCTCTTCGTAGGTCTTTCCTTTCTCTTTGATGAGAGCAGGGGTTAGCTCATCCAGGCCTGTGGTTACTGATGACTCTCTCTCCCTCTGGGCCAGTCTGGCCAACTGCTCCTGCACCAGTGCCTGTTGACGTTCAAAGCTAAAGTAGGGTAAGATAAGAACTGTTTTAACCTTTAACCGTTATTTATCCAGTGAAAGTCTGCTAAACATGCAGGTTCTTGTTCACACAGAGAGCTACCCAGTGGGGTTAGCGATATATTTCTGGTTGGATTCTGTTGATCAACACCAAAACCAATAGTTTTGGGATAAAGCCTCCAAAAGTCAACACAATTTCACAGTTATCAGAGTCACAAAAAGGGTATTTATATCAGAGCTATTGTATTGGGTTGCCTGAATTACATCTGCTACTGCACCTGACACAATTGATATGCTTGGTCTCAGAATTTATATCAGGGGCTTCTTGGCCAAGAACATATTTCTGTAACTGTCCAACCTTCTACATGAACCTAAATAAGAGCTGACTACTTTACAGGAATGTGCCACTAATAACATTGGCAAAAATTTAATAACATACTGCATATCATGTCTGACATATTTCTTGGAAACAGCAATCCAGTGACAGTGGGCCAGAAGTGTTGGACTTGCCAACATGTAGCTAACAGCAATACAGTGAGAGTGGGTAAGAAGTGCCAACATGTAAATCTATAGAGGCTCAGGATAGTATATGAGCATTCAAGCTGCATAGCAACATGGCTGTTATACAAACTCAGCATGGGCTGTGTTGACAGGTCTCTCAGCATGTGTATGTTCGCCATAAAGATTGCACGTTAGTATGGAGTGCCTGCTATTTTATACATCTGTCACCTCCACTGGTTATTAGCTGCCAGTGTCAACACATTAAGGCTCAACTTAAATATATGAATGTTAGGGTCCAATATTCTGCACAATCTATCCATTCACCAAGCTTAAGTTATAACTAATGTATCATAATACATTACATGCAAGGTTATAGCAGGTCCCTCATGAAATACGGCTGGATAACAACATAAAAGGGACAATGACAATGACATCATGAGCACCTACTTTTTGCGGATTTCTTCCTGTATTTCTGTAGTGGAGGGTCCCGTTGGTTTTGGACCTGGAAACCAAATGTTATAAATATCAATGTTATTAGCAATTACAATATGGATCAGTGTGCAGAACAGAGTAGAAAAAGCAACCAAGGGTTACTGGTACACTAAGGGTTAAAGTCTGACAAATCATATTCATGTGGGAATGACATCTGTCTTACAAAATGATCTTTTCTTTTTTTATACCATTGTCTCTAACGTTGACCCAATTATCAAGTAACTTATATATTATATCATATATATTATAACTTAAATTACATTAACATGTATAAAGACAGAGAGGACCATGTAAATATTAAAGTAAATATGAGCACATAAATAAGTTTATGTTCACTGTATTCTGTCCTTTTTATAAAGAACAATGTGAAAAAGTCACACAGCAGCAGGACTGACCTTTATGCTGATACTGTTCTCATCGGTCACTGTATGAGGATATGTTCAGTGACACAGAGGACTTCCCAATGGGAGCTCTGTGAGAAAGGAAATAACACTGACTGGGACTTACTTGGTGGCGGTTTTTGACTCTCTGTTGGAGACAGTGGCGGCTTGCTGCTGTCAGAGCCCTGAGATTCCCTCATCCGCCGGAGCACATCATCTGAGAGCTGGGAATGAGAGATATAACACATGAGCAAACACACAAACACACATATACACACATATACAAGCCCCTTGGTGTGCATGATGGAAAGTTGAGTGTTTTAAAAGGCTCAAAGGTTAAAAAGACCACTTGCTTACTTACCTGCCAGCCTGACCTCTCAAACATAAGTTACCTGAGTATGAAGAAGAGTAGCTCTCTGATACATGGACCAACACATGAACACTTCATGAACTCACACTTGCAGGTCCACAGATGAGACAACTGCAAATGCATTGTTCATGAAACTGAAACTGTCTGTGTGTTGTACTGTTTGCAGTCACTAAACCATTAAATGTACTGACTGGCGTTACAATAACGTACATTACCTCTCTTAGATGTTGGTGACAAAGCAAACCTAGCTAACATTTAACGTTACACTGTGGAAACTTCCCGACCGCATTAAGGTTATGTCCGCCTCCTTGGAGCCGTTATACGGGTTAAGCTAGCCTGGTAACCTAAGAGAGACAGAGGGTAACAGAGGGGGTATGACCCGGGTCATTTGAGGACATGGGACCTGTCAGCCGTTCAGTCTGAAAGCCCACTGCGGTTAGCTGACAGTCACTAGCTAACGTTATATAGTCCAGTACTAGTTATAGTCTGAATGTACAACAATAAGACCACATTATCTACCTTCACTCCTTCAATTACTGTGACCTTCTCGTCTTCGTCCAGCCCGAATGACACTTTCCTGGTGGTGCTGCCGTTACCTCCCATTTCTCACCGACTGTCTTGTTCCCACCTTTCTAGAAACAATACACCCCGTCTAACCTCGGGACAAGGGGACATAAACGAGAGACAGAGAGCGGCTCAAGTGGCCGCCACAGCGACCGGTGCTTAAAACACTTCAATAAAGGTCATTCTGGCGCTGCAGTATCCTCAAAGCTCATTCGTTGGATGAAATAATTCAGACCCAATGACTCATGGTTGTGTATAAATCTACTGGAGGAGGACGGGAATTGTAGTTCATCTCTAGGTTGGCTAAGGTGGAGTCTGATTTGTGTTTTTTTTTTTTATAAGACAAACATAATCACAGAGGCAGAATAAGGCTCCTACTGTCAATACACAATAAAATGTGAATAAAATATGTAAAACAACAACAACAAAAAAAAAGCCCTTTCCCAGAGTGTAGTTACCACAGAGGTCCACAGAGTGGAGTCCTACCATGGCTCTGAATTACCTGAAGCACCCACTGTGTGTCGCCTTGTCCTCCAAACAAACAAGTGAAAGAGTCCATGGTTTTATTCTGCAGGTCATGGAATGGTCAATACATTGCATTAATATGGGCTGAATATTATACAATCAATGCACTTAAATAAAAAAGGCAATTCACAGATCATTTGCAAAATGATTTCAACATCAAACATCTCACATAACAAGAGAGTGGACTTCCATAAAGATGTACCTTGTGAACTCGTGCCATCAAAACAGCAAACTGATTTCCCAATCACTATTCTAAGCAATACAGCAGTTATCACCAGCACTCAAACTTCAATATAAAGTATTTAAGAGTCAGGCAAATACTGTAATTTCCTGGAAATGCACAACTTTTTTTTTTATTTTTTACTTGGTGCTTTAAATTGATGAAAAAATAATTGTAACTCTGTGTTTTCTGCATACAGGTCGCCACTATCTATGAATACTGCTAGCTTAAATACGGTAATCCATTCATATCAAGCATATAGCATTTCAAGGGGAAAAACACACACACACACACACATCATATTGGTTGCCTTGGTAGGCTTAAGTACATGTGATGTGAGGTGGTTTAAACAGACTAAAGTATTATCTTGTAGTAATACCAGGAGGTATGACGTGAACTGATTTCAGGAGTTGAACCAAAAATCTAACAATTCAAGACCAGAATTGATCAGAATGGTACATTTGCTCTGCAAGTCCAATAGTTTTCTCCTTGACGCGGCCTTAAAATTACCTGTCTTTGACACAGTTCCTGAGCCTCTCTTGCTCAGAGGGAATTTTAAGTTCATATCTGTATAATGACACTGTATCAATACCATCATTTGATACCACTGAATGATTAATTCAGCAATATTGTTTATGGTCAAATTTCACCACTTGTAAAAACATTCGGGGAAACTCTGAACACAGGAGAAAAGAAAAAAAAAGACATTAGCAGCAAAAAACAAACAAACTTTATAACAGCAACCCTTCTGCAGCAAGCAAAACTTAACTAGATACGCTGATATGAAATGAGGGCATGTCTAATTTGGAATACACACAAAAAAAATTTGAAAATCTGTTGTTCAAATCACGCACGTCCTTAATGACTACGAAGCTGACAAATGTTCTTTCAGTAGCAGGAATGATTAATCTGGTGTAAGAAATTAAAGCAAAAGCATAAAATAAATACAAGAGGAGAGAAATCACAGATAGCGAGTTTAGGGTTGAGGTACAATTTGAGATCTGCACTCGTCTCAGCCTTTCCTGGCAGAGAGCCGACCAGACGGTTCGTCATCTTTTGCACGAATGCAATGCCTGTGTTTAACTTATAATATTGCAGTGACACACATCGAGCTAACACCTTTCACTTTTTCACAGGAGGGACAGCGCCTATTTCAGAAGACAAAGTACACCTATCAAAATGACTTAGCACTAGTCCTTGCCCTGTGTAGAGAGGCACGGTGATTCAGTAAAAAAAAAAGATTAGCCGGGTTGGGTCACAAATCTAATACAAGGCAGCAGATAACAAAGTCAGTTGAGATGCTGTTACTCAAAACTTTTAGTGGGAATGTATAGATGTTGAGTCATCATCAAAAGAATGTTAGATTTTAAAGACTTGGGTACTTTAAACAGGGTTAAAAAAATCATCAATGAGGGTTGAGCAGTTGATGCATGACGCTGGAATGAATGTGCAGAGTGAAGTCAGGAAGCTCTTACATTTAAGAGCCTGTTGAATCAATAGGGAGTCTGTCTGTCGGGGGCACAATGAGGGACAGTACTCCTCTTGTGGAGCTACAGCAGCAGTGCACTCTGGCAACAGTGTTACAAAAGCAGTTGCTAAATCAGTCCTCCAGATAATTGGCTAGCAAAGGTCTCTCCTTAAGTGTTCACTTGTTAACTTATCCTGGCGTCAAAGCAAGACCAAGATTAAATTTTCTTGGTGTCCGACAACTTTGTTCTGCATTTTTTTTGGCCAACTCCTCTGATCACCACCCCGCATAACACATCACACACTCACAACATATAAGTCCAGCTGTATAACCATCTCTCTTCTTCATGGATTCACGCATTGATAGGTCTCCAGCGGTCCGCTTCAATGCTGTTAATGCTGCTGGACCCATAGGGTCCGGAGGCAACATCATCCAGGTATGCTCCAACCATACGAGAGCTGCCAGGACCAGAGCCATCAATCTGGGTGGAGGAGTAGTACAGGCCCTGGTCGGTCAGCTCCTTACGGCCAATGGTTGTAGCGACGGTTGGGGGAAGGTGGACATCACTTTCATCCGGCTCGTCCACCTGTGACTTGTAGGAGAACAGGATCTTGGGCTCTGAGCTGTGGAAAAGAAGAAAGTTGTGAAATAAATAAAGGAAGAAACGGACAAATATACATGCAACTATAAAAGTATTCTGTATATTTGATAGGATTCTTTTTACAAACCCAAAGAAGCCCTTGAGGAATGTGACATAAATCAGTGGAGCAAAGGTGGAGAAGTACAGGAAGGTGGTGACATCCACACAGCTGGTTCAGAAAAGACAAAATAAAGACAGGTTTCACACCACTCCCATAGTCCCAGTAGAAGTTACAGGACATACGGATATTATCAGCTTAAGTAGACTGAGAAAGCGCAATCAACATGTTTTTTTGTCAAAAAGGAAAACATCTGTTATGTTTTCATCCTCTCGCCTTAACTTTATAGGACCCGCCAAAACAATGAGTCATCCCCCTTGTTGCAACTCAGCCAACAAATTCAATTACGACAAGCTGTAAAAAAAACAGCCACCCTATATCCAGGCCACTGTTCTGAAAGGCTTGTGCAGCATAAACCCAGTGCTTTATGGCTGTACTTGCTCCGAGGCCAAAACTCTACACAACGTAACTTTCTTCCCAACATACTCACACAGGTCCATTTATTTCGTAGAACACTCAAAAGGATTATACTGACCAGAGTCCTTCTATAATTCCAGCACATAGCAGAGCACTGCCCAGGCCTTGGACGAGGTTCAGTAAAGACAGGATGGCAGCATACACATAGAAACTCCTCTTAGCTGGACAAAGGAAGCAAAGCAAAGATTAATGGACATCAGTCAATAATGCGGCATCATGCAGTGGTAAAAACACATTACTGAAAGTGCAGGCACATTCTCATGCATACGAATACTCCATTCATTATAATTACTTTATATCCAAAGCTAACCTCTCAACCACTTAAATCCAATTTCTGTTACTTGATGCAATTAAATCCATAACGTACATGGAAGAGATATCCTGTCCCTCACTGGAGTTTTAGGCAAGATCACAATCAAAGAGTACACCTATAAAAACAAAATAAAAACATTAGGCATCAGTTATCAAGAGATGTATCACAAGTTGTATTTTATTCTTCATGCTGCTACTGCTGCGTGGTTACAGATTACTGACCAAGAAGAAGAAGCATGAGCTGGCCAACCAGAAGTGCCGCCCTCCGTGACCATAGATGTTGAAGTCCTCAGCAGACAGGTGACTGTCTGGATACAGGATCTCTAGTGTGCCCTGAAACAATGGCTCATTTATTTTAATTGCATACGGAATGACAATTTACCAAGATTCCTGTTCCTGCTGTGGGATTTTCAGTGAGGTTTTTAAACACGATTTAACCTCTCATCATCTGTCACTACCTGTGTGATGGAGTAGCCCAGAGCCAGCACAGCAGTGATAGCCAGCACACGCTTTATACTGGACTTGCTCTCCAGGTGACCTGATAAATAAATAAATAAATAAATAAATAAAGAGGCTTAACAGAAACAAAAGCTGAACAGGCATTGAGTTACATTCATGATTATATTCAGGGCTGAAAATAATTACTATATTTATAGGTGTCAGGTGATACGAGAGAGAAACGCATATACAGTAAATGAGAAATGAAACCAGTGGAGCAAACTAACCGAAAGCCAGTCCCAAGATTATAACGCTGAGCTCAATAGCCAGCAAGAAGAAGCGGGTGATTTCCCACAGGACCTGCAGAAACAACAAACATCATGAGTAGTCAGTGTGGCAGAGTTGACCAGTTGTAACACATACGGACTCAGAACATATGCCAAAACCTTGCAGGTCTGGTCACATTCCCAAACTATATCCCAAATAATAAAAGCATTTTTTTTTTTTTTTTTATTTAATAGCGCAACCATGACAGTGTAGTATGGGAGCAGTGAGATCCATTTCTGTGAACTCCATAGGGATCTGTCTGGTACGTGAGGAATGTCAGCCATGCCTTTCCTCTCAGACATGAAAGCCCAACAAAGTCATGCTGAAGCTCATATCAGGTCCACTGGATATTTAATAAAGAAGGATATGGTGACTGCTGCTCCAGTTAAGTATTTATGATGCAGTCTGTCATGTGCTACCTGTAAATACAAATCCGTGACTATTTTACACTGTTAAACTCCAAGAAACCCAAACTGTTTTACATCGAACTAAAAAGATCCCGACCGCTTAGAAAGGTCACCCAGACTGTTAGTTCTACCGCACAAAAAAATGGGCCTTTTCTCCTCCAAAAGGACAATATTCACTGTAAAGTAAACATGAACATCTTGTGAACAGTATAGTTCAAAATAGTTGAGAAAAGTTTTAAATACTTCCCTTCAACCATTAAAAAACGCATTAATATACTACGTAAATGCATGCTACACATGGCATTTTAGTATTCTGATTTTTGTATCACTACATCGAGGTAAAA